ACCTCAGAACCCAAGCCCACCCGTAACAAGTGCAGAGGACACTAACACGGAAAAAATTGGAAAACACACAGCTGAAAGCAATGAATCAACAGCTTCTGAAGGCAGGAGGATCACTGTGAGTTTGAGGCCAGCCTGGATTACACAGTTAGTTCAAGATCAGGCTGTATACTCCATAGTGAGGCTGTCTCAAACAACAAATAAACACCCAACAAACAATAGCATTCCATGTTATCTCTTTCTACTCTACAATGAAAGTACACTATAAAAAGTTATCTGATCTGAATGCTAACCTAAAAAAGTACTTACAAATTTCTGAACCCACTGGTTCCTCCTGAATTTGAATAAAGGGCTTCAGCTTTAAAAGTTACAAATGGTCCAAGTATTTCCCCTCACTGTTTAGTATAGTTTATCATTTGGAGACACTGTTCATGGCCACTGATCAGGGCTGACTGTCAAGGTCTGCCCCTGGGCCCTTGGATTGGAACTAAGAGGACTGGGTGGTTTTGATAAAAACCAATAGCCAGGACCTAGTGAGCCAACTCCCTCCTTTCCCAAAGCCCTGCCTGCGCCTTGCAGGTGCCCTACTTCTACAACTTCCTCTAGCTACCAGCAGGCTCTGCAGGCTTAAACTGGAAGGGGTAGCTTTCAGATGGCCGGGTGGAAGCACTGCCGCCTAGCTGGACCTCACCTCCTGCACCAAGAGGCCTGCTGCTAAGCTTTCTGCAGGTCCTCTGGGGGCACTAAATGCTTACGGCCTTATCCTCCAACAACAAGGACAACCAAAATAAACGGGTCTGCCCTGTGGATAGGCAGGTTCATGTTAGAGCACTGCTGAACTTGTGGCCTTTCCTGAGGCTGGGGAACAGCTCACATTCCAAGAGGAAAAAAAGCACAAGGCTTGAGCAGTAAGTCAGAAAGCCAAGGTCCTTGAGGCAAAAGCAGTGAGGACGTAAACTAAAATCCTGCTTGCTTCTTGTGCTGTAAGAGGCTCTGTGCCATGAGCACAGGCAGAGTTAACCAAGGCTAGACATGCTACCACAGGGGAAAATAACAACTCAAATAAGAAAATGGGGATAGTGAGACATTTAAAACAATAGTCTTCAAAAAGATTATATCTCAATAATCTTAAAGCTGGGGATATAGCTTAGTGGCACCTGGCAAGTGCAAGGTCTAAGTCTGATCCTCCATAAAATTATATATAATTGCATACATATAATATATATTTTAATATAAAATATACAATTTTAATATATATATAAAATCACTTATGCTGTACTTTGTTCCTAAAAAGCAAAGTGTCAGATGCTTACTTGCATTCAGGCATTAATCATGGAAAACCTTCCTACATGTTTTTTTCTCCTAGAATGTGATTGTTAAGTTACGTCCATTTCTGGCACATTCAAGAGGTAGCAAGACAGTGGCACTGGACTGTCATATATAAACTGAGAAAGAGTTCTGGTTTTGTTGGTTCTTAACAAGAGAAGGAATACTGATAGTTTACAATAGGTAGGTGATCACCAGAAGGCAATGTAAAGCAAGAGATATCTGTGAGACATGAGCACTTTGCACCACTTCTCCTGCCTGGCACCGACATACTATGGTTCATGTCCCCGTAGCGCTGCAGAAATGACCCTCTGTGGGCCACCATCAGCAAACCTGCCTCAGCTGACATAAGGTTGATGCCATAGCCAGAACGGCTCCTCAACTGAGCATCTAGGAGAACTGCTTAGGGGAGCGATTCAGTCATGCATTCATAGAGGACAGGAGCAAAAGCCAAGAGAGGCAGCCACCTTGCCCTGCTCTGGCAAGGGAGCATGCCGCTGGCTCAGGACTGAGAATATTCGACAGGCTGCCTATGGAACCAAACCAGTGCCAGGCTCTGCTGCAACCGAGGCGGGCTGCCTGGCACCACTTTTCACAGCAGCTCTGCCTGCCTCTCATGTAAGCCACTTTCTGGAAGGGACTAGAAATCTGTCTGTGACACTGGCTGGGGGTAGAGATCCGCTCTGCTGTCACTAATCCTTGTCCCGCTGAACCCACTAATGCCTGCCCCCTCCACACTGCCTCACGCTGCAGGCCGCAAGCACATCTCTACATCCCTTTTCATTAGGCAAGGAATGAAACTCCTGACTTCTCAACTTCTCCTGCTGTGTGTGTTTAATAGCTGCCTCCTCACAAAGGCAGGCTGGTGCTCAGGCCAGCTGGGAGGAAAGGAGCAGCGGGGCAGAGCACAGCCTGCTCCTGCTGGAAGCTTGCTTTCTCCAAGACACAGCAGCACAACCAACAGTAGTGTCAAGAATGGGCCAGACCCTTCACTAGCCAGGTCTGCGCATGTGCACCGGGGCAACAATGCAGCTTTCCAGGATTCTTCGAGGACCCATTGGGCTGCTTGGTGGACAGTGTTAAATGACCTCCATTCAGATCACTGGAAAAGTCTTTTTCTTTTTCTTTTTTGGCGGAACTGGGGATTGAACGCAGGCCCTTGCTCTTGCCAGGGAAACGCTTATTCCACTGAGCCATCTCCATGGCCCGGAGAAGTCTTTTTTTAATGGTAAAGTTTAAAATTTGCAATGCGGGCCTGCCAGATAGCTCAGTGGATTAAAGCGCCTGCTTAGGCAGATGCAGGAGTCAAAGACTTGATCCCAGGCCTGGCCTGCCCTGCCCTGCCCTGCCCTGTCAGCCCTGCCCTGGAGGCAGGCTGAGAGGAGATTGAGACTATGTGTGGTGGTGCACTCCTGTAATCCCAGTACTTGGGAAGCTGAAAACAGGAGAATCACTACAAGTATGATCTGTATAGTGAGACCCTGTATACCCTGCACTAAATACAAAAAAACATTTTAAAAGATTAAAAAAA